GACGGGGTTTTACCTTGTTGACCAGGATGGTCTTGATCTCTTAACCTCATGATCCACCTGCTTCGGTCTCCCAAAGTGCTGGGATTATAGGCGTGAGCCACCGCACCCGCCCCCTGGCCTTTTTTTTTTTTTTAAAGAAAAATCTTTCTGCCAATGGCAATAATGGCTCCGTGTGGCCAAGGTGAGACTACTTAAGAATCTAGAGAAAGAGCTTCAGTCTGATGTCGGTTTTATTGAGTAAAGGAAAAGGGAATTGAGCCACATGATACAGAAGTTCCAGTTGCTTAGAGTGCACAGACACTCTTCCCATCTGTGTGATGGGAACTGCACCAGCACAGGGGACACTGCTGTGAGGAGGAGGTTCCCACATCTACGCACATGAGCAGCTCCTGGTCAGTCCCAAGAGGCAAGGGCAGAGGGCGCAGCAGCTCTCACAAAGCTACTTTACAAATAAACTCTGTGCCTTCCTCAGGAGTCACTTAAACAACATTTTTTTAAAAAAGATCTGAACAGAAAATAGGGCAAAGGGCCATGTGGGCACGTCATGAGGCACATGGAATGTCCTGGTCTGTGGAATCGTGGAGGGTGACAGAAGCAGCATGATTAGGCATTGTATGACGAGGATGACACACTGCCACCGTGGCCTGTCCAGTTGGTGTGGATAAACTGCCCTGGTTTGGCCAAGAGTTCATAGGTGTGGGCCCCAAAGTAATCCCGCTGAGCCTAGGAAACAGAGAGTAGGTTGGTCAGGATAGTCTGAGGCGCATGCCCCTCAGGGCCAGCCAGGTTAACCCCTGCCCTGCAGGCTTACCTGGATGAGGTTGGCTGGAAGCATCTCATGTCTGTACCCGTCATAGAAGGAGAGGGCAGTGGTAAAACAGGGCATGGGAATGCCAGCCTGGACCCCAGTGCTGACTGCCCGCCGCCAGGAGTCCTGGGCACAAAATGCAAGGCCAGAGATTAGTGATTTACCCTTGGCAACACTGATAGATTTTCATTCACATCAATGTGGGTAAATGAAAAGCTGATCGTTAGGCCCGGCACGGTGGCTCAAGCCTGTAATCCTAGCACTTTAGGAGGCCGAGGTGGGCAGATCACAAGGTCAGGAGTTCAAGACCAGCCTGGCCAACATGGTAAAACCCCATCTCTACTAAAAATACAAAAACAAATTAGCTGGGCGTGGTGGCACATGCCTGTAGTCCCAGCTACTCAGGAGGTTGAGGCAGGAGAATTACTTGAACCTGGGAGGCGGAGGTTGCAGTGAGCCAAGATCACACCACTGCACTCCAGCCTGAGCAACAGAGGGAGACTCCATCTCAGACAAAAAAGAGAGAGAGAAAAACTGATGGCCCCCAGGAGGTAGAGTACCGATGGCGCGGGCTCTAGGCTACATACCTGGCAGTTTTCAACAGCTGACTTAAAAAAGTCGTCCAGTAGGAGGTTCTGGAGTTCTGGGTTTCGATCAAATGCATCCTTTATCTTTCCTAGGAATACACTGAAATAATCGAGGGGGAAGAAAGCAATGAATCTTAACTCTAACAGGAAAGTAAGTTGGAAGATGATGTATACTCTGGCAAAGTACAAAGTTCTATTTCTCATCTCTTCAAGCTAGCTGTTAAGTGCAGCGTGCTGCCAGCATTCATTTAATTTTACATAAACATGCTTTTTGAGGCTGAAGCAAATCTGACAGATATTCAGTGTGAAAATAAAACTTAAAAACTATTCTTGGGGCCGGGCGCGGTGGCTCAAGCCTGTAATCCCAGCACTTTGGGAGGCCGAGGCGGGTGGATCACGAGGTCAAGAGATCGAGACCATCCTGGTCAACACGGTGAAACC